TTGTGATCAGTTAAGTTGTAAACACCACTGCACTTATGGACCTTTTCTTGTTTTTTTTTTTTTTTTTTTTGTAATGGCTAGTTAAGTGAAGCAGTGGGAGTAGAGAAGGACCAAAGGAATAATCTGTACCGGGTTGTGATCAGTTAAGTTGTAAACACCACTGCACTTAGACCAGGCCTTTTTGGTGACCGTCTCACTCTCCATGCTGGAGTGCCATGGTGTCAGCATAGCAACCTCAAATGCCAGGTGTTTTTTGTTTTTTTTTTTGAGACAGAGCCTCAAGCTGTCCCCCTACCTCCAACTCCTGGGCTCAAGCAAGTCTCCTGCCTCTGCCTCCCAAGTAGCTGGGACTACAGGTACCCACCGCAACACCTAGTTATTTTTTGGTTGCTGGATTCAAACCCGCCACCTTAGGTGTACGTGGCTGGCGCCTTAGCCACTTGAGCCACAGGCGCCGAGCCAAATGCCAGGGTTTAAGGGATCCTCTTACCTAAGCCTCCAGAGTAGCTGGGACTACAGGAGCTCACACTGTGCTTGGCTAATTTTTCTATTTTTAGTAGAGATGGGATCTTCCTCTTGCTCAGGCTGGTCTCAAACTCCTGAACTCAAGTGATACTCCAGCCTAGGCCTCCCAGAGTGCTAGGATTACAGGAGTGAGCCACTGCACCCAGCCTATGACTATTAAAAATTTTTTTTGCCAGGTACTATGGCTCAAGCCTGTAATCCTGGCCCTCTGGGAAGCTGAGGCAAGTAGATTGATTGAGCTCGAAGTTCAAGACCAGCCTAAGCAAGTGATGAATAGAAAAACTAGCAAGGTCTATGGTCCCAGCTACTCAGGAGGCTGAGACAAGTGGATCACTTGATCCAGAGTTCAAGATTGTGAGCTATCACAACACCCTAGCAGTCTACCCAAGGAAACAGACTGTCTCAAAACATAAAAAATGGGTTTTGTAGAGAGGGGAACTTGCAAATTGCCTAGGCTGTTCTCAAACTCCTGGTCTCACATAATCCTCCTGCTTTGGCCTCCCAAAACACTCAGATTATAGGCATAAGCCATCACACCTGGCCCACTAGCTATATTATATTTGAACAATGGAATTTCATGCTACAGTGAGAGTTACGATTACTACCTGCAAAAAATGGATAAACCACAGTGCTATATTGAAAGATGCCTGGCACAAAAAGAATATAAACTTGTTAAGATTTTGCTCGCAAAGCTTGAAAACCAGCACAACTTATCTACAGATTTCTAAGTATGGCTGTGACAGTGCCTGGGATTACTGATCGAAGAGGCTAATTGGAAGCTTCTGGGGATGCTGGTTATATGTGGTCACTGTGATATATCAAACTGTACACATGTAACTTGCACATTTTTCTGTATTGTATACTTCAATAAAAAGTTGCTGAAGGATTTTGGGAAAAAATCTATTCAAAGGAGATTTTTGGAAAAAAGTTAGCTTAAAACATTTTTAAAACAAATTCCTTGAAAAGATTGGTACAAAAATAGGTTCAAAGTTTAAACATGGTAAATGGTAGGCCATAGTTAAAACTAAATCCCACATAGTATACAATTTAATTTCAGGTAACAACTCAATTCCAAGGATTTTTCTAGTACATGTTCGATGTTCCACACACAGAACAGTTGGTGTATGCATGCAAACACAGTAGCAGATATATCAAAATATACCATGATACAGTCTGTGCTTTTTTTTTCATTAGTTCCACTTATTTCATCAAATACTAATTTACAGAAAATCTGCCCTGTCATAATTGCAGAACCCTTTGTGTATGAAAGATTTTGTCAATGGCATTTTTTATCTCAAAGATCTTATCAAACCGAGTTTTTATAAATTAATTTTTTTGTCTCTTTTTCCCATACGGAAACAAATTATTACCCTCTTTTTTTTTTTTTTTTTTGCAGTTTTTGGCTAGGGCTGGGTTTGAACCTGCCACCTCCCATAGATGGGGCCGGCGCCCTACTCCTTTGAGCCACAGGCGCCACACCACCCTTCCCTTTCACATTTTTGACATTAAATTATAAGATGTCAATACTATTACAATAGATTTTAAAGTTTTAATGAAAAGACTGTGCTAGATAATACAGGTATTATCTTCAAATACTCTGTTGAAAAAAACTTTGGAACATGTATTTTTAAAGCAGTTAACAAAGACCAATTTAAGGGACAGTAGCCATTTTTTCTCAACTATCTGAAATGACTCAATAGGTCAAACATAGATGTATTCTTTAGATGACATCAATAAAAAGACCAATGTGTTCTTATGACACATTGAAAGCTGAGTACTGAAAAGGTAGAATTAGTAACAAGTGTTACTACATGTGGAGTTAGCAGTGTTTTAGTACATTTGCCAAGCTTTTAAAATAGCTTCTTGCCATTAAATGATGATAAATGGCTATATTTGTATCTGTTATGAATGTTGATGTAAGATTTTACAGTTCAAGACATGCCTGTGGGTAAGATGTACTGAACGAGGCAAACTCCCAAATTAAGGAAACTTACAGGACAGTGAATCTTAACGTACATATGTCTTTTAGAAACATGATCAGAATGCTTAGGAATTCTATTAAGTCCAACATTTCAAACTACAGTCCTCCCTCTGTATTCATGGGCTTCATATTTGAGGAATCAACCAACTGCAGAATGAAACTATTTGGAAAAAAAAAATTCATCCATAGTGAACATATACAGACATCTTATCATTTTCTCTTCAATGATATAGTGTAACTATTTATATAGCATTTACGTTGAACTAGGTATGATAAGTAATCTAAAGGTGATTTAACATATACAGGAGGATGAGCATAGGATATGCAAATATGATACCACTTTATATCAGAGACTTGAGCATCCTTGGATTTTGGTACCCAAGGGAGGTCGTGGAACCCAGTCCCCACAGATACCAAGGGATGACTATACTAACTAGTCTTATTAGCTGACAAATACAAATTTAAATATAAGAGAATGCAACAAGTTATTTGAACCTGAATGCAGAGAATAAATACTTTATTAACTGATAACAGTTGAAAGTCACAAACAAAAAAAGGGGGGATATTAAGGCAAAGCCATATATATATATGTATAGACAAATCCAAAGACTGTTACCTCTTCTTTACATTTTGATAACCTCTGCAGTTTTCTTTTACATGTTTAGACAGTGTGCTTTCTTTTCCTCTCTATTAAATAAACACCTTGGCCAATATTTCTAAATCATATTTTGATGACAACTTACAGGATCAGTGATTGAAATGACGACTAGTGTATCAAATACTATCTGATAGTCTTCCCAGCCTACGTGCAGTGGCACATGTGTGTTGGTGTGCAAAATCTGACAACTGATCATTTTCTTTTTAGCAAAACAAATAATTTTTTTAAAAAGTGATTTTAATAGTCTTAACTAAAATAAGCCTGGACTTCCAAAACAGCCAAACGCCCAAATTACATATTTTCTGTCCTTCCCTAAACCCTCCTACATATTTTAAACAGCTTTTAGAATATGATCACATGGTTGTATTTCAGATCTGTAAATTTTGAAGTTTTCAAAACCCAAAATTACTTCCTTCTGCAAAATGGCAATGCTACATAATGTGGAATAATTTTTCTTCTCTTTAGCTCCTTTTATAAAAATGGACAACCATACACACACACAAAAGACAAAAATTTAGTCCATCTGAAAAAGCACTCCAGCTCCCTAATTCCATTTTTGAAGGAAAAGGCAGAGGCAAGTTTACATTATCCCAGAAAACTGAATAAATGGCTTTATTTGGTATCTTCAAGAAGCTTCTCCTTCCGTAGGAGATGTAGGTGTTGTAGGAGAAACTGTAACTGGTTTTCGTGTAATTCTGTCTAGTTCTGCATGAACATCTAGGACAGGCTTCTGGCCTACATTAAAGGAAGAGAAAAGAAACAAGATTTAGATATAAATGAAAGTATCCTTTTCGCTAATGTCTCTTCATTAAAAAATTGCCAATGTGCCAGGTGTAGTGGCATGTGACTACAGTTGCAGCTACTGCAAAGGCTAATAATGTGGGAGAATGCCTTGAAGTTCAAGACTGCCTACACAACACAGCAAGACTCCATCTCTTAATTAATTAAAAAAAAAAAGCTGCAAGAAAAAAACACCAAAATGGGAAGAGTGGGCTGGGCCTGATGACTACACTATCCCAGCTACCAGCTACTCAGGAGGCTGAGGTGAACAACTGCTTGAGGTCAGGAGTTCAAGACCAGCCCAAGCAATATAGCGAGATTTCATTTCCAAAAAAAAAAAGGTAGTGGTGTCCCAGGTACTCAGGTCAGAAGACTGAGGCAAGAAGACTGACTGAGCCCAGGTTACAGGGAGCTGTGATTGCACCACTGAACTCCAGCCTGCAAGACTGAACACCCCCATCTCTTTAAAAATAAAACAAAGCAAAACAAAATAAAATCCCTCATTTTAAACTATGGGATCTGCTACCAAATGGAGGTAAAACTGGCACCTATCATTTAATGTCATAAAAGTTTTTTTTTCTTGAGACAGAAGTCTCACTAGGTCACCCTTGATAGAGTGATGTAGCATCACAGCTCACAGCAACCTCAAACTTGTGGGCTTAAGTG